ATTTCAAGAAGTTTTGCCATGATAACACTTAGAAAAGAGAAGATATCTATTATCGCTCAAGACAAATAGAAGACAGGACTTGAGAACAAAGAAAATACTAAGAACAATATCACTTTTGAAGAGGGCAATCCGTAACTTCTAATATGCTTATATCTTACCAAGAAAAAAAGATAATCCACTCTTAATTAAGATTAGACAAAGCTCTGATATTGTAGGTGTACTCTTGTCAATCTATCAAGGACAAGAACTCGATGAAAAAGTAATTCTAATAAGTGAGCCTTCACTCAAAGAAAAGTAACAAAATATAAATAAACAAGTATGTATATTGAAAGAGAAACTGAAATGGCTATTGCCAAAAGACAAGAAAATTAGAGACCCTTGAAACTAGACTAGAAGCAAGAAAGGAGTTGACAAGAGTGAAGAAGGCTTCACTCTTGTCTCTATATATATTATCTAACTACGAGCTACGTGGCAATGTTCTATAGGACCTCCAATATGTGTTGACTTTGTAGGACACATGCCTTGACTTACAAGGCAAGTTTTTCTACGTGTGGGCCACATAGTTAGCTTGGTCTTCAAGCTAACAACATGTGTGGCACATGGCCAACTTGTTGACCACGTTTCAAATCCAAAAAGTCAATTAAAGACACCTATGAAGTCAAAGCAGCATCTATGAAGCTTCTAAGAAGCTTTTATATCAAATACTATAGAATTAATTTACTTTTACCTACTTTTACTTACTTCTACCTATTTATATATATAATTACTAGCTTATATGAGTATGTCCATGACATTCATCTCCTTTTTTAATACGTATTAGTTTGTATGCTCATTGTAAATCTATTTTTGTATAGATCTTAGCTTGATTCTGTTGATTGAGAAGTTCGGATATCAACTGTAGAGGGTAGCTATTCTTGATGGTAATCTTGTTGAGTCTTCAATAATCAATACAAATCTGCAATGATCCATCTTTCTTCTTTACAAATAAGATTGAAGCTCCTATTGGTGATTTGGAATGGTATATGAAATTCTTGGCTAGATTTTCTTCATTATATTCCTTGAATTCAGCTAATTCATTTTGTAATAAACTATAAATTGGTCCAAATGGTGCTTGTACTCCTTCTTGAAGGTCAATTGAGCAGTCATAGGGATGATGTTCTAGAAGAGTATCTGCATTCTTTTTTTCAAATAAATCTTGAAATTCTTCATATTTGTTGGGAATGCCACTTAAATTCTTTGTATCATTAGAAATAGGTGTGGCATAAATGACACAAGGTGATCCTTCTTATGCAACATGTAAGAAAGCTCTTGCACTTACAAACACAAGTTTTATTATACTAGACTTATGACTTTCTACTGGATTAATTTCAGTCTTAGTTATACTTTTAGAAAAGTTAAAGATACTAAAAATTCAATCTATACAAGGATTATACTTTTCTAATCATGATAAACCTAAAATAACTGGATTAGAGGGAGATCTAATTATATTAAAGATTACACAACTACTATGACCATTTATTGCTATATCTATAGGAAGTATTTTATGAGTAACATTTCCAAAAGACAACGGACAACCATCTATGACTTCTACATGAATATATTTGGTTTTTTATATTAGTGATATTTTATGACTTTTAACAAATTCTATGTCTAAAAAATAAGTTGAGGCTCTTGAATCTATTAAGGTGAAGGCTTTATAATTATTAGGTCCTAAATATACATCTATTATAAAACAAGGAGAGGATTCTGAGGAGACAATAGAACCTTCATTAAAAATTATATAAGATTCCAACCGCACAATTCTTATTGTTATTGGACAAATTCATTTTCTGACACATTATCTTCTTTAATAATTGTGCATCTTATTTTGTGATTTTTTTGTTTTTTTGGATAATGTTGAGCATTGTATTTAGATTCTCTACAATATAAGCATAATCCTTCTTGATGGCAACGAGTCTTTTTTTTCTCAATAAGAAGTTTAAAACATACCACATTAATTTACATATCTTCTACTTCTGAATGTATGTATTGAAGAGATGTTGATATTGCCATCGAATTATAATAATGTTGAGGCCTATTTGTATGACTCTTAGATCGAAATTCAAAAAGTTGATTGTTGAATTTCACAACAAAGTCAATTGCTTGATTCAATGTTTGATGATCAGATAAGTTGAGCATCAATTTCTTTACTTCATATTTTAATCCATTGAAAAATTGGCTAATAAGATCAACATCATTCCACTTGATATCACTTAGAAGTTGTCAAAATTATCAAGCATGTAACGTTACAGATTGATTGCCTTGTCGCAAAATATGGATCTTGTTAGTTGCAACAAAAGTTGCATCATGTTCTCCATATATATACTAGAATTTCACCAAAAATATCTCCAAATTATCCAATATTAAATCTTGTTATTCAAGAAAAGATGAAAATTGTAATAGTACTGAAGCGAAAAGAAGTGTACCAATAAATCTAACTTGTGATCGTGAAATTGGATAGTTTTGAAGTTGAAGTTCAATCACAAATTTTACTTGATTCATAAATCTTCAAAATTTAGATCTTGTACCATCAAACTTCTCGAGCATGAAAATTTGTGGTTCTCTAATACTTGAAGGATGTTCTATCGTGGATGGAGGGACATGATTTAGTGTAGATGTTGAAGCAGCTCTAATCATCTCTATATCTTCACTTTCTGCTATTCTTATTGATCCTTGTGGCGGTAAACTAAGTTGATGCATCGCAAGCATCAACTCCTTTAATTAATCTTACATTTGTGCCATTGCACTCTTCATTTCAACAAGCTCTGCCATAATAACATTCAAAAAAATATCTAATATTACTCAAGATAAGTAAAAAAAAGACTTGAAGACAAAGAAAATATTAAGAACAATATCAGTTTAAAAGAGGGTAATCTACAACTTCTAATAGGCTTATGTCTTATCATGAGAAAGAGATAATCTACTCTTAATCAAGACAAGACAAAGCTCTGATATTGTAAGTGTACTCTTGTCAATGTATCAAGCACATGAACTAAAAGATGATGCATAAACCAATGAAATTTGTGTCAAAGAAAAAGTGACAAAATAGAAATAAGAAAGTATGTATATTAAAAAAAAACTAGAATAGCTTATTGCCAAAAGGCAAGACAACTTGAGACTCTTGAAACTAGACTAGAAGCAAGAAAAGAATTGGCAAGAATGAAGAGGGCTTCATTCTTGTCTCTATATATACTATTTAACTAGGAGTTACGTGGCAATATTTTACAGGACCTCCAATATGTGTTGACTTTGTAAGATACATGCCTTGACTTATAAGGCTAGTTTTTTATGTGTGGACCACATAGTTAGCTTGGTCTTTAAGCTAACAACATGTGTGGCATATGGCCAATGTGTTGACCACTTTTTTAATCCAAAAAATTAATTATAGATACTTATAAAGTCAAAGGAACATCTATGAAGCTTTTAAAAAGCTTCCATAGAAGATATGATAGAATTAACTTATTTTTACTTACTTCTACTTACTTCTACCTATTTATACAGATAATTACTAACTTAGATGTCTATGTCCATGACATAGGATTATTTTTGAAAGTTCTAAGATAGTTGGAGAAAGTATGAATAAGACTAGCAGAGGCTTATAATTTGGATATTGGATTAGGGATGGCTTTGGTCCCTTCCTGTTAATAAAGTTTGGTTTGTATTTTTTCTATTCTATTTTATTCTATTATCTTTTGTTATGTTTTGTCTTTCATCATTCTATTTTGTTTTATTCTAGTTTGCTTTGTCCTACATTGTAATGAGATTTATATTATTATAGAATGGAAGAATTTTAGATCTTAGAGAGACTTCAGTTCCATTTCATTATTTGGTAGAAGTTATATTTTGAAGAAATAATTTCACATGTATAGCTTTCTTTTGTTATAATACTAATCTTCTTTCTTTAAAACTCTAATTGATATAATTACTATTTTCAATACATCTATTTATAATAAGACATCATAAAAAGTCAACAACAAAGAATTATATACTAATCATATTGAAAAGAAAAGTAAAAACAATGTCTAGAATGTCAAATACTTTAGAACTCAAAATACAATGATTTCAATTAAATAGTATTAATGTAGCCAATCCATTTTCAACCACCTCTTTATTTCTAATCTATAGGGTGGTGTATTTTTGATCAATTTAACATGATAATAATAATGAGTTCTAACACCTTATGGTTTCATATTACTTAATTCACATTTCACCTCAATTCCATGGTACTATTGGATAAGAAATTAAGAATTTCATAAAAATTGGCTAGAATCTAGCATTCTCAATTTTATCACCAACTACTAGTTGGAATGAGGTTGGTCTAAATATCAATTTCAAGCCAAAGAGAATCTTTTACTAAAATATTAGTATAACTTCTATTATTGGACAAATTGTGTAAAAACACCTAAAATCCTATTAATTTCTATTTCAACAAGGATATTTTTTATTTTTTCATACACTTCTGGCAAATACGCTACAATGCCTAAGTTAATAGAAATGGGTCAGCTACCTTACTCACATTCACAAAACCCACTGTTCTTATTCTTATTATTCTTTATCATCACCTCCAGCACAAATACCGAGTAAAGTTTAAGATAAGAACTTTTCTAAGTTTAAGAACAGCAAAATAAAAACGCGGAGTGGGGGGAGGAGGCACCCTGGTCCACCACCACGCTCCTCCCGCACGCCCGCACACTCCCTCCCTTCCTCCTTCTGCGATGCGGCGTGGCTCTGGTGTCAGTGAGAGATACCCGGATCCTCGGAATAAGGATATTCCATGGCCAGGGAGGGACCTCCCCACCCCAACCCTACCAGTCGGACAAAATTCACACAGCGACAGAGGGAGACAGATGCAGAGACTCGCATCGAGAGAGATCGAGAGAGCAGGGAATATTCCATCGGGCGGAGCTGGCGATAGGGTGCGCTTTTTCCCCACAAAAGGAGGAGGAGGAGTGAGGGACGGAAGGGAAGGAAAGCGAGGAAAGAGTCAATGGAATGGAGGGAGGAAGAGGAGAGGTCCCCGACTTCCCTCCCCTATTCCTTCCTGCGCAGGAAGGTTGCCGAGGTTTCCAGGCCTAGGAATTCGTGCTTCCATTGTGACTGCGCTGGGTTGAGCGCGCATCCCCTCCCCCACCCCCACAGTCCTTGATGATGCGTCTTCCTTCTCACTGTCGCCTTCTGCGATCGATCCCATGCTCCTCCATACCCCAACATCGCCGCGACTCTGCTGTCCCAGTTGTTACCGTCCCTAATTTACGTCGTATTCATTCGCTGTCCTCTTGCTGTTTATTCTGCCTCCTGGATTACACCTGCTGGAGGAGTGGCGTGTGATAGGGCATTTCAGTGTTGGTTTCGAGATTCTTGGATGTTGGCAAGGGTTGGAAGTTGATCGGGGGTCGTCGTTGTGAGAGCTTGTTATTGGATTTCGAATTATTCGCTGACTGGGGTGGTGGTTTCGAATTCAAGCGTAATTTTGATAGTCCCTTGGGTTGGATTGTGAGAACAGGATGTTTTTGGGCAGTGGTAGAGTTATTTTTGCATCCTGATTGTCTCTGGCTTCCGGGGCTACGTGTATGTGCCGTAATTGGCACTGCTGATTCATCGTCGTTATCCGTTGAGTATCCATAGCTCTTGGTATCTTGCAGCTGATTGAGTTGCTGTTGTGGAAACAAACGTTTTTTCGGGGGTTTGTGTTAGGAAGATGAACACGAGGAAGAGATACATTTTGGCTGGAGAGAATTGAGCAGTATATATGGCCACCGACATGTAATTCTCTGGAATGTTTTTGGGGAGGACGTTCTGGTGCGGTTGATAAACAGGATTTTACAGAGAGGAATCGAGGCTTCTCCACATGAAAGGCTTGCAAGTAGGAGTTGTCACCACGTGAGGTTGAAGTTCATGGCAGTAAAGGTAAGGGTAGCGTTGCAGCCATCCGATAGCAGCAACTGTTCCAGTTTGGAGGACTGGTAATGTTAAATATGGAGACCTACGAGCCGCTGGAGGGTTCGTCCTGTCCATCCTCCCCATCTTTGCCCCGTATGAAAAGGAAGGGGTGTGGAGGTTGTAGCAGCATTCCAGTCGCACGGTGGCTGAGCAATTCCTTGAAGGAGAAGCGGAACGGTTTAATGAGACGTAATTCGGGTGAGCATGGACGGAGTTGGAATCGAGGTCGAGAGGTTGAGATGAAAATAGATTCCAGTATAGGGACCGACAGGGAAGGTTGCAGAGGAACTCCTGGCTATTCTGGTTGGATTTATCACGTCGGAACGAGCTCATTAGGTTACCCGTTCTGCATCGATCGGTTTTTGGTTATCAAGGGAAAATATGTGACCATGTTCAAGCGCAACCCTGTTTTGTTTCCCCGAACTGTATGTCTACGCTTCTTTTCTCTTCGTCCGCTTTCTTATGCTGATTACTTGGAAAGCATGGACTTCCAATTGCCGCATCAATTATTCTAGAAAAAAATTATACTCAGGTTTAGTAGTAATGTATTGTCTCTGCCTTGACACATTTACGACGATTGTCATGGGGACACATAATTTGCTATTTCGTTTGTCAGTCGTGTTTTGTAGACGAATTCAAAACTTCATTTGAAGTAATTTCTGATTCAGCAGTGTTGTCTTCATCTCGAGGATTAAGCTTAAGCATTTGAGCTGCTTTGAACAAATGCTGGCCTGTAAAAATGAAAACATGGGCGAATTTCAAGGGTGCATTTATGAACTAATATTCTTGGATTTCTGTTCTGCAGGTGCCTATCAGAAGCGGGATAGCAGGAACCCATTTGATGGTAGAGGCATTGGGTCGTCGAATTTTTCATGGAAGGGTATTATCCAAATTCTTAACTTCTGAGTCGCATTGTAATTCACCTTGTCGTGAGTATGTTTACATGGTCAATGGCAAGGATGTTCGTTCAAATGCCATTTTTCTTCTTTCATCAGTTCTGTCTGGACCCCTTTTTAATTACACGTCAGTGGTTCTTTACAGGCATTGTATGTTTTGCGGATCTTCAATCGCTTGGATCATAGCAGGCAAGGAGAGGTAATTATTGGAACAATTGGCACAGAATCGATAGTAAACCATTGAACTGTGTATATTTTTGGTAACTACTTGGCCATTTTAGGGTGATTTTGGTTATTTAAATAGTTCAAGAATTCGTCGTGAATCATGTTCGATTTCCTATTTAAATGCCCACTGTTTTGTGCTGTACAGTTAGCATGCAATACCTCCGAAGAAGTCGACAAATTGATATGTGCTTTTAAAGATGCTATGGAAGAGGTTTCGCCAGTTCTATCCCTCCATTTTTCCCTATTGCTCTTATTTTGTCAAGATTCTTGGGAGCTTGTGATTCAGCTCTTGGAATTTAGCTGCTTGCATTTGTGGATAATCCTGTTTCCTTCGTCCAGGCTCAGTCCTCTAGTGAGCGAATTGGCAGCGGGCGCCGAATCGCTCATACTGACGAAGAGTAAGTGGATATGGCTTTAGTCGATATATGAATGGAACAATGGTTTTGGATGCAATTACCTGATAATTCATAATTGGTGGACCTTTCGTACTTTCGAAGGAAATGTTGGCAATCATCAAAGATCTGTTCGCTGATTCTTCACGTTTTAACAGATTCGATATAAACGAGCCACGCACGCATTCAAAATCGGTCACAAGAGGCATCGGGAAGCTTATGACACTTAGCAGGGGTAATATTACACTACTATGGCTGTTTTTTCCCATATAATTTGAAAGATTTTCCTGAGGAATACGTGAATGTGTTTAAATAAAGATTTCGTCCAGACTCCTTTTCTCCGACATAATATCCAAATTCACGATAATGGTATGCCTAAATGCACCAACCTGTAATCATTTTGGGAACAGGCCCAAGTTCGCAATCGAGAAGGTCGTCGATAATTTCGTCGCAGGAGCCTGTTTCATGTGTATGTAATGATTATCAAGAGGGAGAAACGTTTGAACAGGCAGGCTGGAGATCCTTCTGTACAGTAAATGGTAATATTTCTGGTCCTTGCGGACCTTATTATTCGCCCTGAACTAAACTGTCGGGGAAAGTGCGGTTCACTGTCGGGGAAAGTGCGGTTCACTAGACTGTCAAAGTTCAATACGGAAATAAATTCACGTTTATTCTACGTGCATGTTGGATCAATCCCTGAATAAGCACGTGGACTGTCTAGCAAGCGTGGTGATTTTGTGAACTAGTCTACCTTAGCCGATTTCTAACTCTGATTATTTCCCCAAGATACAATTTTCTATTGTTAATGGCTTGTCTTTTCACTCGTGGTGGTTTGTTGGTTATGTGCTCGTAAGTTGTCATGCCTTTATCTTTTTGCTTAGTATCAAATTTCATGTTCATTCTCAATCCTTCTTACTAGTATGTTGGTGACTTGTTGGGAAGCAGGTCTCCGAATTTTCAAAGATACCACAGCCTCTAAGGTGCTTTCAGCTTCTCTATATGTATGCATCTTTGTTACATTCTCACATCGGAGTCAAGTTCCAGTTGCATGGATGATCGTCAGCTTGTCTTACACCTGTTCATGGACTTAGGCAGGGAAGGGCTCAAAAATGAAGGCTGTTGGCGTTATTGAAGCCTCCACTGATGCCATATTTGAGCAGATTATGAGCTTGAACTGTGCTCTTCGATACCAGTAAGGCTTTCAGGACTGTCAGTTGACTTTCCTCCGCGGTTATCGTCGAGTGAATAAAAGTTTGCTTGCTATCAGTATAATGTGTGTGGTTTGCGTAGCAAGGATATTAGCAGCAGGTATGGGTTTGACATGGGAATTACTCATTCCTAATTTGTTGGCAGTGTCTTCCCATGGAATGCATGTACTGTGTTAGAGATCTTTTCATGACCCGCTGAGTTGTTCATCGCGTAGGAGGCTGACAGGCTATTAAATCAGTTCGGGCAGTTCTCTCGGTCAAGAAGTGTATTTGTTGCAATCAACCCTTAAAGTTTGTGATCCTTCTCATTGCCTGTGTGCTATAGATGGGATATACTGACCGGCAATTTGGAGCTTGTTGAGCGAATTGATGGGAATGCGGACATTGTCTATGGTGCGTTTGATCCCAGGTATGTCAGGAGGTGAGGTTCTAGAACCTGCCCGGACTTTGAGTATAATATTGTACAATTCTCGTCAAAGCTCTCGTCAAGATGCATGTTGACAGCATAATTATGATCTTCGCTTTGAACATGAAAGCCAATAATAACCCTTCTTCGTCTTATGCATCTTATATGTTATCAGGTATAGTATTATAACTTCTCCAGCTGGGGTTTCAACCTTCTGTGCAAGATCATTTTTTGACTGCACGGTAGTTGATTTATTGTCAATGAAGTTGGGAATCGCATCCTGTCTCAGTTTCATATGTTTCCAGTAACGATGAGCACATCGGGGTGATGATGAGGGTAAATTGTGCAGGTTTCATGGTAAACGGGACTTCCTTTTCTCACGACGTTGGCGACGCGACCAGGATGGATCATATTGTGAGTACCCTTCTGGTGCTTGATTTAAAAATTTGCGCTAGACTTATTTGGTCTATCCAGTTTAGGATTTTCTTGTTTTGCACCTATTAAATCACATTTGGTAGGTTTGAACTGTGTCTTTTTGGGTTGAAGGGTTTCAAACGAACGGTGTGGAAAGTAGATTGGTCCTGATTGAAACAATCATATGTTGGTTGCAGCAATTACACAGGTTTCAACCACGCACGAAAGTCGGCCAGACAAACCATGCTTCCAACGGATTGATTTGAGTCGTAAGTCTTGATTTCGTTAACATTTGCATGTGACTGTTCAAGAGATGTTTGTGACATGGAATTTCTTGTTTTCCATATTTTGTTTGTTCACGAGAATCTATAAGATCAAGATTGTATTGGGAGATCTATTTCGAACACTTTGGGCCTCATCAAGTAACTTCGTTTCTTTATGCAGCGGGTATTTGGGAGATCATACCTTTACCACCTCGGCCTGGTTCGGGAACTCCTCGATCATTGGTTACGCAAGTTATTGAAGCAAAGCCCACGGGATGGAGCCGATGGAAGCGACGTCATTACTCGAACTTTCACAAGACTATTCCTTGCATTTTGCTCTGCCGCATTGCAGGTAGGCTTTTGCTAATATTCGTGAGTTCTGTGATTTAGATTTCAGATTTATCGTTGATCGAATTATTTTGGATGTTGTGTCACTATGAAATACTAAGGTATACTCATTTTTGTTTGGTGTCGGTAGTTTAGGCCTGAGAGAGCTTCTTGAAGCAAGTCCCGAGCTTATTGTTGTGGAAGCTCAAGATGGAGAAAGAGTGAGCAAAGTGGTGAAAAAGATGTTAGAAACAGCTCACCCATTGCCGGAAGTAACATCCCCGACCTTGATGAAATCCTCTGAGGAATTATCTGTGCTCGAGGCACAGGAAGAGTTTTATGATGCAATTATGTTTGATGATGAAGAGGAAAATGAAGGAGAAGAGAATGGGCTGGTTAATAAGAATCAGGTGTGCTTTAGTAGTTATTCTTTAATGTGATGATATTAAAACTTTGTGTATTGCAAATGCTTGAAGTCTTCGGGAATATTCGACTTGTTAAAGCATAACATTTAAAAAATCTATAGATTTCATAACTTTCAAAGATATCAGTAACATACAACAGATAAGAAGTAGCACCTGTAAATCCACCTTATTCTTAGGACTGAATTTGTCAGTTGGAAGTTGAATGCAACTTGCTGGCCTGTCTGTGTCCTTGAATTGCAATGTCCTTTGTTAAGAATCAATCTAATTAGTTGATCACCAAGCGTCAAATTCTTGCATTCACATCGTTTGTCTCATATCTCATGACTCATAAAGTTTTGTATTCATGTGTTCACAGACCTCATACCTGGAGTGTGAGGGACCTTGGGGTGTTGTGCTCAGTTTACCCTCTAAAATGGTTTCAGGTAATTTCTTCCTAAAATAATCATTTTCGAACATTTAAACATTTTATGAATGTGAATTAGTGGTGCAGAAAAGTTTTCCATCTTATTCTTGGTCGAATTAATGCCTATCTTGGTTGTCCTTTACTCAATCCTTTAGTACCTGAAAGCGTGATATATGCTTTCCTAGTTAGTGCACTTTGCATTAAATCTCTAGGTTGAGATTTTCTACTGCCAGTGTTCTATTCGTGAAAGTCTTACATTTTAACCCATATTACAGCACCTAGAGCTGGCCGAGAGCTTGACTGGAATATACTGCCTTACGAACTAGATCCTAATACCTTCTATTCATCATTGAGAAGAACCACTAGTGATGAAGACTGTGATGGATGGTCTTCTCCTGGAGACGGCGGATTCATGGTTCGTAGTGAGACTTACAATGAGAACAATCTCAAGGTTTGAAATACTCTGTATTTTCTTCACATCAAGCCTTTCAGTCAAAATCTATTCTTTAATGTTCTTGAAGCAACGAGAATGCGTCGATTTGGCGAGTAGCTTGTAATTACAAGTCTCATTGAAAATCGTGTGTAGTGATCAGATATCAGGTGGAGATCCGCTTTTGAAACTAGTGGCTGTGGATTGGCTTAAGTCAGATCAAAAGATCGACCAGATTGCTCTGCACTCAAGCTGCTGCGTGCAGGTGATTGAATGAGTGATATGTTTCATTGAGGACAGAATTGACGAATATTTTACTTACTTTATGTTTTGATAATTTAGTATGATTTCTCTTGATAGAAAAGTGACGAGGGGATGCTTACCGATGCTGCGTTTTTTCCCGTTGTGTATCAGTCAGCAGTAGGGAGGAAAGCACCTTTTATTCTTGTAATCAACCTACAGGTAACTTGAACTCAATCATTTACTATGGGTCTCAGTTTATTTCTCCTTTGATTGCTCGAGATGTCATGCTAATGTGCCCACTTACTTCTTGCTACACTTGCGCTTCTGAACTTGAAGCTTTGTCAGAATTTTTTCGTGAAGTTTGACATTGAGTTGTCTCTTGTAATTTTTGGTTTCCGGTGCTCTACTTTTTCGCTTTTGCCGTGGGAAACCTAAGATAATATGGGTGGTTGGGCAGGTTTGTGCCAAGCCTAAATTTAGCTTGGTGTTGTATTTTGTCGCTGACAAGCCAATCCAACCAGGATCATTGCTTGATCAATTTGCTAACGGACACGACGCATTTAGAAATTCTCGGTTTAAGCTCATCCCAAATATTGTCGAGGTATGTACTGACGTGCATGCAAACTAGTTGTGTAATAACATATCGTTGCTTTGAAGACCAAGATGCTTTGGCAAATTATTTTATCCTCTATGCTCTACTTCAATATAGATCTCAATTTATCACGTTCTTTAATTTGCTTGTATACACATGTTTATTATGGCACGTTTGATTATGTTTTCTCTTTCAAGACGAATAGGTAATACCTACTGCCTTGTGAATCAGTTTCTAACATTACATTGATTTCTTAGGGTTATTGGATGGTGAAGCGTGCTGTTGGTACAAAAGCATGCCTACTGGGCAAAGCTGTCACTTGTAATTACTTGCGTAGAGATAATTTTCTTGAGGTATTTCAATCTACCAATTTGTGGAAGTTGGGTTGACAACATAGATTCTTTTATCAAACACTTGTATTACCCTCGGATATTATTTTATTAAAAACCTATGATTTCAATGCCTTGAGTCCCTAAGAATTCTCAAATTGCTCGTTTGACCTATTAGAAATATCTTATTTTCAGATTGACGTAGATATTGGTTCGTCATCAGTTGCACGGAGTGTAGTGGGCTTGGCTCTGGGTTATGTTACAAGTGTCATAGTGGATCTTGCGATTTTGATCGAGGTATGTTTACTCCTTCATGCAGTCCCACCTCTAATTTTCAACCCATCATTTCTATTTATGTAAATTTCCCCCGCTTGTCACTTTTCTCAATCTCCTAGGAGCTCCTAATTCGTTAGTCTTTTTTGTCATGTTTTCAACTGGCCATAATACGTCAGTGTTTCCTCGTCACAGGCAAAGCATGCGCATGAGCTTCCAGAATATCTATTAGGAACTGTAAGGATAAATCGAATAAAGGTCGACTCAGCGGTTCAATTTGAGGGAGATGCTCAGGGAAGCTCAGGTTATCAGCATCACCAAAGATAGGATTTACAAAGAACACATCTATTAGACCATGTAGGTTTCTGTACCATAGTCTATTTTCATTGGGGAACCAGTTTTTGGGTAGCTCTGTTTTCAAAGCATGATCTGATTTGGGGCTCCTAGATCTTGTACGTGATCTGGAAGCATCTTCCTGATATCCATATGCCACTCTTTGGCATGGTGTTGGTGCATGACCAGCTTGTTATAAACACAACACAATTCACTTTCCTCCTAGAATGTTGCAGGGTTTCTTAGAGCATGCCCAGCAGCAACTTGTCACACAGGTACAGGTTATTTGAAGCTGGCGAGCCATTTGAGGGACATTTTTACCATTGGTGCATGACCAGCTTGTCGTTAACAGTTAATTGACCCAGCAGCACCCACATGTTTGGGTTGGTTGAAGTTGGAACTTTTTTAGTCAAGGTACAATCCAGGTATCCCATGTTGAATTAGACCATGATATTATTAATAGTCTTTTTGTTTAATCAAATTCCGTGCAGGTTTAGAGAAAGATGATCTGAGGCTCTTGTAAATGGCATCGCATTAGTATATCCATTATTATGTTATTTATTGCATTTTATTCCAAACACTCCTTAGCTAACATTACCAATTATCATGATGCACTAACCTTTCACATACAACAGACACCCAAAATTGGCATACCATTCATGACACAATGCCATGAATTGTGATAAGTTTTTTTGCAATGTGTTGATTTGATTGCTCAAGCGTACAAACAAACTGTCCCTCATGTTTAAATTTTATTGCAGTTGCACTTCTATTTCTTATCTTTACTAGGCCTTACTAGTTCTGTTAACCTCTTGTTTCTTTAACATCTATTAAAAGTATTTCAATATTTTTTATTTTAAAAGAAAATTGATTGTTAAATATATTCATGAATATTTGGGAAGCTTTGTAAGAAAAATCCAACATAATTATTTTTGAAAACATGCATTAAATTTTATCTCCTCTATTGACAGATGCAATTAGGTTTTCTTGGTTGTATTATTTTAAGATATATTAAATAAATTATGCCCATGTCAATATCCCTCATTTAAATAAGAAAATGTCTTTGCATTTGTTGCTAAAGTTTTTTAAAACATAATTTTAATGTGTTCTTTTATAAGATTTTTGGAACAATAATTATTTTTTAAGATTTGTGTTTTATGATTGGTGTTTAAATTGTGTAGACATTTTTTAAATTTACCACAAATTGAAGATTTTATGTGGAATTGTTGAAAGACAATGCAAGATAATGATATAAACCTTGTGTAGGGAGAGATTATTATCATTTTTATTTTATCTTAAGTTTTTAACGTAACGGCTATGCACTTATAATGTTAAATAAGGAATAATTTTAATTAAAATAGTATTATCATATTTAAAGTACAAAATTCCAAGAAAAATAAAATAAAATTTCATACAAATTGTTTTTAAATTATCATTTTGATCACTGTTTTCAAATATACAAGATTAGATGAAAATATGATTATTAATAGAATGCAATTAATGCCATTTTAAATATAGAAAGGTTAGCCACAAAATAGCTTTTGATTGTGCATTATAAATTAAATATTAGAAAGCAACTATAGATTTCTACTAATTAATTGACCAATATATATATATATATATATATAGGAATGTTAAATAGATCTAGATTTTTATTAAATTAAACTATCCATGATAAAGAATATGGTAATCACGATAAATGTGGTTGGTCTTCATTGGTTTGAGATCCAGTAGTGAAAAAATAAATCTAAAGGTCATTTTTTGTTTTCATGATGGTTAAGATGAGTGGATCAATTTAATAAAAATCTGAATCTATTTAACATTCCTATAAAATTTAACATATGTATAGATATGTGTATATATATATATATATATATATATAATTGTGAAAATTGAGTATGTGTCATAATAACTAGTGAATGATTTTTTTATTTTTTATTTTTATTTATATTTTCCTCTCAACAATGCCGAGTCAATGGATCAGCTCACTCTTGCAGAAGGAGCCAACCACGAAACTTCACATGGTAGGGGACGGACATCGAGGACCTAATCGAGATCTTCAAATAGGCCCGTCTCATGATTGGCTGATTCGAGGTGTTTATATAATACGAGACCTGGAAGGGGAGGCTTGTAGAAAGTTCTGGACCTCGGGAGCTGTGGCCACTTTGCCGTGCGAGAGGGGGTTTGTTGCAGTTCTGTTTTTGCTTAATAAGGGTTTCGTTTCGATTGTAATTGTGGTGCGTTCTAGTTGCGGATTCTGGTCTCGGGCACTTGCATAACACCTGTTTCAGGTATGTATGATCGCTCCTCGATCTCGCTTTCAACGGCTGCTTATTACTATGGTTTTCGTGGAGAATTTGTTGGGATTATTGTTGATTGTTTGTTGTCTTTAGTTTGGTGAAAGATTGAAAGATATGGAGAGTGAGGTTCCTGGAGGGTTTCGATTTTGGTGAGTGGATTTCTCGCGTACAAGTTAACTATTTTAATTTTGTGACAAGCAGTTGTGGTGGTTTCTGTTGAACTGTTTGGAGCTCTGATTGGCATTGTTACTATTTCAGCGCTCTAATTGTTTTACGAAACTGCCTTGTCGGTGACGGAATTGCGGTACAGGTTAGTGAGAGCAAGCGGCAGGAACGATGATTGAGGTGGTGCTTAACGATAGGTTGGGGAAGAAGGTACGTGTGAAGTGCAACGAAGATGATACAATTGGGGATCTCAAGAAGCTGGTAGCTGCTCAAACAGGAACGCGACCTGAGAAGATTCGCATCCAGAAGTGGTATACCATATATAAGGATCACATCACTTTGAGTGATTACGAAATTCATGATGGCATGGGACTGGAGCTCTACTACAATTAAGGAGCAGTATATGATATAGCGTTTCGGCTGAGATGGGTTGAAAATGTTAACCTTATAACTGTTTAAAGTCTAGACGGAGGAAAGACCAGGGGGTTAGGGTTCGAGATTACTTATCGTATTTGTGTGTTCTGCGTAGACCGATGTGCACGTAAAGCTTTAAATCCGGAGGGGTTTTTGTCTGGCACGTTGTTGTTTGTGGATCTTAACCCGCTGAACTTCTCCTTGTACAACATCGATATATGTGAAAGTTAATCCTTCCACGTGCATTGTTAACTTTATGCGTATATATCACTATACGTCGAAGGTGTGCTGGCAGGTATATGCTCTGCAGCACGCTGGACTAGGTGACAGTCTTTGTGAACTTTGTGTCCAGGGCAGATATTTCAAACGTGTCATTCACGTTCACAACTCAGTTAACCATTTCCTTGGATCTATTTTTTAATTATTTTTTGTTTGAGATGATGAAATATATTTGAGAACAGTTGCTACATATTTGTAGTTGCACCGTCATGTGTATTGTGTTGTGACGTTGAGCAAAGATGATGAAGATTATTGCTGTCCACCTCTTCAGCAAAGCCTGCAGTTGGCATCAGCTGAGTTATGAACGTTCTATTTTATTATTCATTTTAAGGTGATTGTTGCACGAAATTTGGAGGTTCGTGGATTTGTAGTTCAACCGGGAACTTGTCACTCATAGCTTGTGGCTAAAATGTACACGTATCAAGTACAATTATATTCAAATTATTCATCCTAATATTACCTTCTATTTCATATGACAAGTTAATTTCACTAGAAGAAAGGTCGGATGATGATTTAAGTCCTCTTTCATACTTCTTATACACTAAAATTTATCATGACTTTCAAAGGGGGTCAATATGTTCAGTAGAGATGATGAGAAGCCACAATTTTTGAGTTCATTAATTGGATGAAATCATATAGCCTTACTCAACCAGTTTTTGGATTTAGATTAGATCTTTCAAATTCCTTTAGATATGTCATATAGCCATTAAAATTTGTTTGTTTGTTTGTTAAAAGATTTTTACTTTGATAATGTTGCATTCAAAGCAATCTATAAGGTATCACCTAAGACACATGTCTTATGGTCTTTTGAATGTTTCTACAAAGCCTTCTTTCTAAATAGTATATGTAGAGATAAGAGTGAGGTTATCTTTAGCCTTATCAACATCTTTTGTGTTCTTTTCTATCTTATATTTATATTTTTTCTTTTTATTATTTCTTCTTCAAGAATACATGAGAGTATTATCTTTTGAGATATATCCAGATTCATATCCTTGACTATACAAGATTTGTGCTAAGTTTGTGATAATCTTATTATTATAAATAATTCAAAAAAAAACCATCATTTATTTTCTATGATTTATCATCAAGACCATAAAAGATATTAAAATATTAAAAAATATAATTAACTTTTGATAAGTACTATTAAAGTATTATATAAATAATTGATTAACTATGATTTGTTTTGGTATTATTTTTATGATTATACCATAAAATTTATATTTAGAATTTTATATGTTAAAAACTTTAATAACTTTTATTTCATAATGATTAAAAAATACTTATATATGATAACTTATTTTGATTTTGAATAATTTAATTATTAGTTTAAAATAATCAATCTTGAATATATATATATATATATATATATATATACATATATATATAATCTTATTAGTAAAGAAATGGCTCAATCTATAAGCACACTCCAAGTTGTTGTATCTACACCTAGTAGGGCTGTACACACATCGAAGGCCTTTGATTGGTTCATCTAGATCTCTTTTCTCTTCTCTTGGTGTGGATTCCAATCTCCTTCTCTTCCTTGCTTTGGTAGAAGTCTTAGTTTCCTCCTTTTTTTCCTTGTCTCAATGTAGATCTTACTGCCTCTTTTTTTTAACTGACATAGGCCTCAACTTCTTCTCTTTCTTCCCTACCTCTTGGTGGAGGTCCTATGGCCTTTCTGGCCTTTCTGCTTTTAACAACCACAAGTCTCGGCCCTCTTCCCTCTTAATTTTTGTTTCAATTTAATGCTCATTGATAACATTTGTTTCTTTGACATATTTAGTTTGAAATGATAAAGATTCAACTTTTTCCTATTTATTTGTATTATTGTCTCTATAGTCTCAAATATCCAAGGAAGGTTTGGAAGATGCATTAGTTTTCTAGTGCCATAAGATAAAAGCTTTAGATAGCCATTGAAAATGTTTGAAAATCAAGTCTAAGATTTTTTATCACCAATTCCCACTCTGTCTCTCTATCCAAGGAATTTGCTCAGATCAACAGATTAACTATCATATAGGATACAAAGGTATATTTTTGTTCCTATATCAAGTCTGTTAAGTTTGACAAAATTTTCTTGTCATTACTACAAATCATTCCTTATAGTTCTCCTATATAATAACTTCTAGGCTTAGTTTATCACAAGTTTTTTATTCATATGTTCTCAATAGCAAAACTAGCTTATACTCGTATTTGGATCATCACTACTTTGATACTCTACTCCCAAATCCACCCCCAAAACAAGCATTGATATATACAAGTCAATGATTGATTGTTAGTGGATGTGCATATAGCAACTTGGAGTGTGCTTGTAGCTTGAGCCTAAAGTTATATATATACATATATATTTAGTTACTTAATTAATTAGTATATAGTTAACTAATATATCAATTATGACATAAAGTTTTTTTTTATCTTCCATATAGTTATTAAAATTTTCTAAATTAATAAAATATATTTTGATTTTTTATTAAAAAAAACGTCATTTTTTATGATATTTAATAAATTTAATTTGTTAATGAATTTAATTAGATTATTTATATACTTTGAAATATTTAATTTCTTATTTTTTATGTTTTATAATTATGAATTGGATTAAAATAAACAAATTACCTACATAGAAGATAATAATAGATCATCTTTATATAAAAAGTTACAAAATTTTATAAAAATCATTTTATAAAATAACATCTTTTTGTAATAAGATGTTACAAAAAATAGATGGCTATTGGAACCCAATAAATTTATTTTTAAAATTTAAATATTGTTTTAAAATAAACAAATAAATAAATTTCAAGTTGCTAAATCAACCACAGCCTACAAAAAACTTAATGTGTAAAATTAGGGTTTCCAAGATTAAATATTATATCACTGTTGCTTCTTTTTCGATTGCAAGCATTACTGATATTCGGACGTGACGTGACTTTCATCAGACTTAGAACTTGTGTTTTACTTGTGGAAACATTCTTCTGGCAATAAATTTTCTTCAATTATCTTTGTTTGAGTGGTGAACTTGTATGAAATTTTTGTCACTAGGATTTTACCGTACTGTGTAATAATGCACACTCATATTTTCTCGCACTTTTCACATATCTGTAAGTGCTATAAAAAATGCGACTATAAGTTCTTGGTAACTCATAACTACCACATCACGCAAATCTTGATGCTACACATCTTTTAGGTCTACAAAAAAAAGACTAAATCTACAAAAGAGGTCTACGATGTCTAAGATCTTTACGAAGAATAAACATCGCCAGATGGCAAGAATCGCCTTGCTTGAAATACTCTGCAGAATTGTGCGTTCAGAGAATAAGATTGGGCCAATAGAACAAAGAAGAACCGACAAATGTTGCTATCAACCAGATGATAATTCCACTGTCACTAGCACCAGCAGCAGTCAAGATGTACAAATCAGCACCAAAATAATTTGGAACTACTTTAGATTAACACTCAGTTATTTACAAAAGGTGATTCCAAAAGTCACCAGCTGAGGCCTTCCCACCCAAACCATGACAGTCTTGACAAATAATTGACGGACACATCTAACAACTGGAGCCTGAGCAACCGAACATATATCCACATTGACCCAGCTACATAACTCTAAACGTAACATACTCTCTTTTCCTGTTCTCAGAAATAGCCATGTGCAGCTTCACTGATAGGCACTGCGAGGCGTGTCATGCTTTTTTCCCTTCACCTTTCCGCATTGTAAGTTTTGTTTATATTCGATATCATTGATGTCTCCAACTCGGCTTTTCATTTCAATTTACACGTCCTTGCCATCTTTTCACAGAGAAAAACTCTGACGAAACAGTAGGTGCACTGAGTTTGCGGCTTCCCTAGCTGCCATCTGCACTCCTGCTGCGATTGTAGGCGTTGGCAGCACACATGTTTTCACATCTACGGTAAAATCTACGACTAAACATGTAATCCAAAAGCCTTGATTCTCTGATAATACTTGTAACTTCCAACTATCGCACATGAGCTCCCAATGAAGTCGTGACCATCCACGAGACTTCACAATCAATCCACTCATGCGGCTATGTGACAAAAGATCGGCTTCATATACCGAGTTTGCAAGTAGTGTCTAAATGATGCAATCAAAATATGTGTAAGCGTGACTCCGGTTGAATTCAAGCAGGCTTCCATAGGTACGATCTGCCACACCTACAAAAAGAGATTCTGAATCGGGACTGAAGGAGACTCCAGCTACTTCTCCAAAAATATCGATCTCCTGACAATGAGAATAATCCTGCTTTGTGTCAAAAACATGCACAAAATCAGCAGGCTCTGCCATAACCATGAAGCGTCCGTCTGCCGTGAATCGTATGGAACGTATTGCACCAATGCGACCTTTAAGCACTGCCAAAGAGGATCCCAGATAGCGATTATCCCAAAGGCGGCAAGTTGTATCTTGATTTCCGGTGGCAAAGACACGTCCATCAGGGTGCCAAGCTGATGCAAATGAGTAATCCAAATGACCTCTCAAAGTTGATATAATCTGACACCATGTGGATAATACAACGTTAGATGGTGTTAAAACAAGCTATTTACTTCAATTCCGTTGATATTTTAACCTTACCAAAAACCTCACACAAAACCTCACACACACACACACACATATATATATATATATATATATATATATATATAGTATTTTGTAAAAAACTATGATAAAACGAAAGCGAAAACGACAGGAAAAGAAAAACAGACAAGAACACGCAAATTTTACCTTGCCGCTTTGACTGTCGGCCAAAATTCCATCAGCATTATCTCCCACGACTATTACAGATTTGCTGTCGGGACTCACAGAAGTGTGCTGCATCCAGAATCAGCGATAATCGGAAGTTAATGCGCATTACAAACAACCTGGTGGAATTTGATAAACAACACTCCATGCAAGTCACATTGAAGAAAGCCCAAGAGAAACACACAGAATAACACTGGAATATTGGAACGACGAGAGAGAATGCATACATTTACAGCCCATGGGAAGTAAAATCGGCTCAATACAGAGAAATTGTTGCAGTCGAAAACGCGGACAACCGAATCATTGTTGGAACTCATCAACCGCACAGCGCCACTGTAAATCACAACAAACGCCCAAAGTTTCATGAAATCGAACTCAAAAACCAAACAAACACATGTTCAAATTCAAACATTCCTGATATATTGATATCCTGGTTACACAAATCTCAATTCATCGTGATTTCTTCATTAATACCTGCAATTATCGTAGATGTCGATAGCGTTGGTGATGGCATTATCATCGTGGGTGATTTTGGCACAATACGACACTCCAGGACGGTCAAGGTTCTGTCCAAACAAAGAGAAGCCGCAAGTATTTAATGGTTTTGGCGTTAACATAGTTGAATGTTCTATGCCCAGAATATGGAATGAATTGTGTTGGAACTCGCAGATCAACTGAGTCAGTTCATCTTACCTTGCAAATCATCTCGCCTTGAAATCCACCGGCAACAAGGAGATTACGCTTCACACACATAGTGCTAATCTGAACACGTCCCAACCCATGTTGAAAAGGCCTGCTCTGAGCCTGCTCAAATAAATGTAGTGGATCGTGAGAAGATAAAAAGAAAAAGGTGCGAGCCCTACCTACTAGAATATGCACATTTAAGCCTACTAGAATATACGTAGAACGATACTACTCGTGATATATACTTTCAGCTACATAACACATGACGACTACCGGGTAGCATGTGGCATGTGGGAGGCGGTGGGAGGAGATAAAAGCACCCCATATATGATTCATCACAACGCAAAACAGTTTTTAACCCTACACAGAAAATTTGGTAAAGTTGTATTTAAAATACATCACAGACTAACTGAACAGAATACGATATAGTAACAACGGATCTGTGAGTTGGTTAAAATGTTCACCTCCAAAGATGGAATAACAGGGCCTGCGACATTGAGCACTTCAGTTCCTTTCTTGGTAATAGGCGACCAGTGCATCACGGAATAGCTGTGCATAAGATACACGTCGTGCTTGGAAGTGGCCCATACTAGATTTCGCAACTGATCAGCATCCACCCATCAATAAAAACGATTTAAAAACAACAAATAATCCAGATTCCTACATAATATCCGTGTAAAATGTCAGGAAGTCATCAATGGTACGAACCTCCGCATGATGACGTCGAGTTTCACAAAAGCCAAAAGCTACACCCATGAGAAATCAGAGCAAATAGCAAGGGAACATGAGCCCAAAAAGGACTTACCTGAAAATGAACAATGGTGGATTTAACCGATCTAGTGTTGTGCCGGAAACGGTAAAAATCTCCTCCCTTCTCTACAACTTTGCACTCCTACAATCAAGAAATCAAGAGTGTAAGAGAGTAGGTGGTATATATAGCCAAAGCATATAGAAGAAACATCTTTCAAGGCACAAAGACAGCAATGAAAATCACATATGCTCAGCAGAGGGAAAATCTGTGCATCTCAAATCTCATCATCAGATAAGACACATCCTACTAATGTAAGTAGTCAAAGGACTAAGTAAAGTATTCTTCAATAAGTAAAAAGACACGCAACATCAATTCAGACAGATCATTTCTGAGGATCACAACTTCTCTGGACGATCCATAGATCCCAATACTTTCACGAATCTCAGGGACTAATGAGGGTCGAAACATGTCCTGGACATGCTCAGAATTGAACACAGCACAAGTGTGTGCACAGTATGACCGAAAATGTACCAACGAGAAAGAATTTCAGAGACCATTCACCTTCTCTAGTTCATCATGCGGTAACTGCAAATTCACGTAATTCTTGTACTGACGTAGCCGGGTTTCTCTGTATTTCTCCCTTGTGAATGTCAGCCGGTCCCATGGAATGCCTTGGATATCCTTACCTCGCCGAGCTTGTGCAGCAGTCGTGTCCGAAACTTTATTCCTCTACAAGCGTACAAAACGAATCTTTCAACTCAGACCCTTTGATTCTAGACAAATAAAATAATAATACAAATACAAATACAAATCTAATGCTGCCGAAAAAACTGACAACTTCATTACTGATATCGTCGTAACTGACGATCAGTTCCTGATCAATTGCGCATGCAACTGAAACGTAGTCTAGGAACAATTCTGACAGGCTACAGTGCAATTTTTCACGTCATATCTGCAAACTGAAGCCGCACCATGAAAAGTAACGATTGCACAGATAAGCATCCGCACAACATGAGATCACATTCACACAACACAAACTTCCATAAGTTTATACGCAATTCAAGTAACTCGCAAAAGTATCCTCACAACATCATTGTCATCATCTGAATCTGAGTCGAGCGAGTTCCTCTCACGGGCCGCCTGCAACTGATCTTCAGCATCATCTTCGAAATCCACCATATATTCGTCACCCATGTACTGCCCGTCATCTTGAAGTTGTGCCATTCCGTCCACTGTTATACCGCATGCGCGTAATCATGCACTTACATTAGTAAGCACACATAATAAATTACGGACATCAAACACATCGATAGTACACGCATCGGATAGACAAGGGGAAAAAGAAAAGTGGTGACCAGCACTCCGAAGAATGTAACAAGACTCTTCAAGAGTGCCCCTCGTGTTCACATGAAAAGGCCACACAAGTCCATCAAGGGCAAATACAAAAAAACTCCAAAAAGTAATGATAACGGAGAAGCCGAGCACAAAAGTAAAGTATGATTCCTTGACAACACAACTCTTACAGAAAAGAATAATTAATAATCGATCCGATGAATACAGAAGCTCGCAGTCGAATGACTTGAATAAATCCAATAATTGCCCAACCGCTAAACTCACTTGGCAGAGAAGCAGAATTTTCAAGCATACTTCTTGCCCCTCACTCCAAACACTACAACACATAATCACTAAAACTCAGCAATAGACGATTCTCCATCCGTAAGTACCATATTCCATAAGCACGCAAGTGCAAGACTTTCTGCGAAACACTATTGCGAATTTCAACTTTTTAAAGCAGTTTCCATACAAACAATTTCGGACGTCGACATCAGGAAAGCATAACATGCTCACAAGACACACATCTCTTAGTCCATCCTTATTTTCATATTACACACTGGCACGGAGATTATTGCATGAACCAACTAACCAGCAATTTTCCAATTATGTGCAGTGCCCTAACTTGTGAGTGTAAATCGAGGAATTAACCTGTAAACGAACTCATAGACCTAAAGTCCTCGCCTACGCGGGCATCCCACGGCACAGGTGTGGCAAAAGCACAACAACGAAGCCATCACATTCACAGAAAATTAGGTCAAAGGACAAAAAAAACCAGACTCCATCAAAACCAAAATAATATCAGTTTCATCGAAACCGTCTACGTCCACGCACCTCACAAACGAAGCCGACGATGCACCTAAAGGCACCACCGACCGAAAATCGCGCCTTCCTCTCCAACGACCCAGGCTCGGTCACAAATTAGCCCGTCCACAGCTGACCGCTTCCAGCACCCAGTATCGTTCCCCTTCCTATCGAATCAACACCTAAACTTCCAACATCCGGTCCCTCCAACTCCCTAACCAAAATAAATTTATCTCCCGGACAACCACCTTTTCGATATCCCAACTCTTGAGGAAACGATCCGGAACAGACACCCCCTCCTCTAAGAGACGAAATCAGACCCCGAGACAATTCAAAGAAATTATGATCGGCAGCAGCAATTTGCGCTACTACAGCGGCGTTGTGAAATAAATCCCTTCGCACTCTTCTGCTGCTGCGGCGACGAAGAAGAATACTCCAACCATCCCCGGCTTGGAGGCCTGACCTGACTGACCTTGTGGCGTTCTCGGCATCTGCTTCGCAACTCCTCGCTTCTTCTATATACCGCCCTCACTCCCCGTCTCTTGCAGAAGCAGCAGCAGCAGCTTGCCATAATTATTCTAGATTTTGCGATCGGATGTGGAGGATATGGAGGGTCCGATCTACGATTTCTATGGGAGGTTATATAAATACATACATACACGACGCCGGCACTTCTGGATATGAATCAAAATCATGGGTGCGCTGATGTGGCCGCTGGGCGTTGGTACCACTGCTCTGTTTCTGTCGGAGCTGACCCTGGAGATGTGGCACATCGACCGTTCTGCTCCGGAATGTTTTGTAGAACGTGTCCCCTTTTCAGAAGCAGCAATCACCGAGAGCATCTTCCAGATATGTTTTCGACCCTGCTGAGTGAAACACCCGGCGGGTATAAAATCTTCCAGTTATGTCATCGACTCGGACTGGACATAACACCCGGCGGGTATACAACCTTCCAGTTATGTCATCGACTCGGTCTGGGCACAACACCCGGCTGGTATCGTATTTTCGGCACTGGTTCCCCGATTGACCTACTACAGATGTTGATCTTCCTGTGTCGACTAAAACATACTCATGGTAATAAGAAAAAAAATAAAATATAAGCCTAAAAATGGACGCTGAACATAAATCTATAATTTTAAAAAAAAATCACATAAATATGAGTATATTGTGGGTAAGTATATTATGAGTATATAGTAGGAGAATAGAATTGAGAATCTGTTTTTGGGCAAATCCATGTTAACTAATGGTCAAAGAATAAATCCAATAGATGTGAATGCCACTAGTAGTCCTTCCATTAAAGTGAAAATGTTTCTTTCATTTGCAACATACTCTTGTCTTCATAATCTTTTATTATAGTCAAAATAGATTTGTATTTCTTTAGAGCAAGCTCAAGTTGCTTAATTGTCAAAGAATAAGTTCAAGAGATGTTAATGCCCCTAGTAGTTCCTAGATGTTAATGCTCCTAGATGTTAATGTTATAGTAAAAACTATTTCTTTTATTTGCAACACATACTTGTTTTTATGATCTTTTGTTTTAGTTATGATAGATTTGAATTCGTGTTGAACAAATTCATCTTGTCTAATAGCCAACAAAAAAAATTTGAGTTTTATGCAAAATCAAAAGAGTTTTGGAAGCTAAGACAAGATTTACATAGATGTTTAAGCTAAACTCTCTATAGCTAGATATCCAGTGTATTCTCAGATAGCAAATCACGCCATATGACCTACCTGGTGAACCCGAGGTGATTATTTCTAGGGTAGAGAATTTTGAAGAAATATTTTGGCTTTCTAATATAGAAGGGGGGCAAGAAAGTAGTAGTAGGGATTGCACTGGGGTATCTCCATTGCAACTTAATCCTGTTACAACTCAAATATTTCTAGCATTTGTACTTTTTATGCAACAACAAGAAGAAGTAGAGTGCAAGGAAGTAATGGCTACTAAAGCCTTGCAATCTATTGTTGGTTTATTGCATCAATTTGATGGAAGAAATATTTCGAAGTATCTTAAGTATTATTCACAGGAGATGGAGCTCAATAAAGTACAAAAAAAAAGTATGATCTTAACATTTGAGCTTCCAATTGTACCAGAGCTTCGTAAGCATATAAGAAGGATTATTCAAACTCATGGAGAAAAATGGGAGGATTTTATCTTTCAGCTAAAAGAAGAGTATTCTTTGGAAGATACAGAAAGGGTGATAAGAAAATTGTTTATAGAATCGATTAATATATTCAATAAGAGGTTAGTTGCAACAAAGTTATTTCGAGAATTTGAAAGACAATTTCTTTAATTATCTCGAGTAAAAAAGCTTATACTTGAAAATGATAAGGTGGAGTTATTTCTTCAATTAGCTAGCAATGATTTACAAAGGGAGTTGAAATTACTATTAGAAGAAAATACACAGAACAATGGACTTACTATTAATTGGAAGAAAGTCTCTGAAGCTGTGGGCATACTTGCTAAAAGAGAGTATCGGAGGGATAAGGTGGTAGTAAGGCAAGAGACTAGACCTCCACCATTTATCATACCTCATAGGCAATTATCAGAACCTACTATACCAGTAAGTACTATTCCAATTCCTATGTCTATAGTTGTACCATAGAAAGATGCAATTGATGAGTTGATAAAAGAAATGAAATACTTACAAATCAAACTAACAAAGCTAGAGGAGAAAGAATGATTACTTGAGATCAAACCTGCATCAAAACAAGGATATATACAAAGATGTATTTGATGTGATAGTATTAAGCATCTTCACAAGGAATGTGGAGATTTTGTTGATATTTTGTGATAGTGAGTAATTTTATGGAAAGATGGAAAAATTGTATTGCGAGATATAGGTGAGTTTTTCAAAACCAATTTTGGAAAGGGACGGATGAAGAAGGTTTTGGAAGACCATTTATTTCAATAGGCTATGGCATCAAGAGAAGCTATTATTTATCGCATTGAGGCTGTAAGAAAGAAGGAGGATGTTTTTGACAAGCATGTAAACACAAGAAATCTATACAATCATGCTATTATCAACATGAATAAAGAAAAAATAACAAGGTAAAATTTACTTAATATAGCTACAATAATTAGAAATACCTTTAGGATGGGATGGCCCTATAGATACTATGTTTGTACATGCTTATTTGATAAAATCCCAACATGAAGCTCTAATGGAGGTAAAAATGGAAAAAAATAAAACAAAAGAAAATTTTGAAGAGCCAACTAACAAAAAGAGATTTCAAAGGCATACAGAAACAACACAAAATAAAGAAATACCTATACCATAGGCTAATAGACCATCCAGGGCTGGGCCATCGAAATCGAAATGTACCACTGCCAAAAAAAATGGAAAGAAAAGATGGAAGTTGATAAAGAAAAAAAGAAGAATAAGCATGTTACATGTAAGTTACAATCAGATATTGAGGTAGCCATAGATTTAAAAGGAGTGTTGGAAGAAAGAATATTAAATGCCAAAATTGAATTTACTTTACAAGAAATTTTGGACATTACAAAGAGAGAGTTTCATGATATGATCATTGAGACCATTAAGCGAAAGAGGCAGTTGACAGGAGAATCTACTGTATTTAATGCTTTGGATACAATCTTGACTGACAAAGAGGAACATGAATTGGCAGAATGTTGTACCAATAAAAAGATACAATTTGATTTGGATGAATATAAGGATGATGACAAGGACCTTGGACACTATACCAAGGACATTGGGCCAGAGCCACCACAAAGACTTTAGTAAAAATGGAAGACTTGGTAGAACTAGTAATTGCTTTTATTGACCATAGATCTGAAATTAATATTATGTCAAAAGAAATCTACAAACGTGGAAGGTGGCCCATTGATATTAACCATGGTTGGATCATTCGGGCAACAAATAATACACAAGGAGATCTTTATGGTGCTTGTCCAAATGTGAAGGTAAAGGTTGGAGATGTGACCACAGAACAAATTTATTTTGTTCAAGACACTACTTCATACCCAATGATTCTTTGTCAACCATATATTATAGCTGTGAAGATGGAGACCAAGGTTTTGGATGATGGATCAGCATATGCATGTATTAGAAGTCAAGATGAAAAGAGGGCAATGTAATTTCTAATAGTACATATAAACCATGAGCACAATTGGGATTATTTACGAAGTAATTTATTACCAAGGATTAGTGAGGAGTTTACGAATTTTTGCAGGGTACCACTATAGAGCGGAAATGTAGTGGTACATCAAAGAAGGTACTCTCGCATGAAAAAGAAAGTATCTTTTGTACAGATGTTGTAGAATTATCTAAGAATGAATTTGCTATCTATACACAACTTAATGATCTATCAAAGTGGGAGAAAAAAGTTGTGCAAAAATCTGAAAAGGACCTAAAAAGAGTGCGTGTGCTTGATGGAGTTGATAAAATAGTAGGTATATATATGGAGACTAGTTTAGAAGATTTTGTAGAAGAAATTTTAGAAGTTGAAGAACGAAATGAAGATCAAGTGGTGCAAGTACATTCAAGAGAGTTCTACTCAGTTATACAAGCATTTCAAGATTATGAAGTCAAAGTTGAAACTAGATACAAAACTGTGGAGAGGAAAATAAAACCTATAGCTATACCATTACCTAGTGATTCCAATCATCAAGTTCAACAAGCTTTGAAGGAAAAGGGCTTATGGGATCCTAAACAAATTGGCCACAAGTTTATCAAGAATACACATAATGAGTTGAAAATAGGATATACGAATTTTCTATTACCTGTTGAAGAAATAGAATTTAGAAATATGTTAAGTATGCATGGAAAGACTTTTGCTTTTGAACCCTTTGAAATTGGGTGTGTCGATCTAAGTGTTATTGCACCAATGATTATATTTATAGTTTTGCATGTTCTTTGGGATTTAAGACCAATTTTGGTATGTGAAGTGCATCTACCCAAATTTATGGAGCTTTTAAAAGAAAAGATGCAAATGAAGATCCTAGAACCATCATTTGCATCATATTCTGGTCGTTGGTTTACAGTACTGAAGAAAAATGGAATACTACGGTTCATTCAAGATATGCAATTAGTGAATCAAGTAACCATTAGAAATACTAGAGTTGGACCAATTATTGGAGAATTTATTGAGGTATTTGCTGGTAGAGCTATTTACTCTATTGGAGATCTCTATTCTAGATATGATTAATTTCAACTAGCTGAAAGAAGCAAAGATATCACTACTATGAGGACACCTTTAGGATCGGTTAAGATGTGTACATTACCACAAGGAGTAACAAACTCGGTAGCTCACATGATGAATGGGATGAATAAGGTTCTTTGTGATTTCATTCCAGAAAAAACTATGCTCTTCTTGGATGATATTCCAATAAAAGGGTGTGTGGAAGAAGAGAAAAATAAAACAATGGATCAGAAGAGGTGTCGTAAATTTGTATCTAATCATATTTCAGACTGTGATAAAATTTTATCTCGACTTGAAGATGTTTACTTGACACTATTAAGAGCAAAATCTACCTTTGGAGTTCAAGAAGTTATTATTATGGGGCATTTGTGTGGATGGTTTGGTTGCAAACATGATCCTAATAAGGTGGATGCTATACAACAGATGAAGGATATTTGTAGCTTACAAACAGAGGTACAGAGGATTTTAGGAGCTTGCATATTTTATTGTGTATGGATTCCTCATTATGCACATGTAGCTGATCCTCTTTATAGTTTGCTACAAAAAAAAAAAAAAAAAAAAAAAGAGAAGAAGCACACAAAAACAATTCAAAAGCTAAAGCAATTATTATCTTCTCCACTTGTATTGCAAAGAATAAGTTATGAGGATAGCAAATCAGTGATACTTATAGTTGATACTAGTCCAATAGCTATTGGTTGAGCTTTAGAGTAAAACGATGAAGAAGGTAACATGTTTGCTATTAGATTTGGAGCTAAAGTATTAAGTGAACAACAAAGAAACTATCCACAAGTGAAATGAGAGCTATGGAGAATAGTTACAGTTATGAAAAATGAAAGAGACTATTTAATTAGAGCACTAGTTATAGTGGAAACAGATTGTTTGCCACTATTGGGAATGATTACCAACTGTAACACCTTTGATATTGCTATGCTAAGATGGATTGCATATATTAAATATTTGAATCCTGAATTTTGGCATATAGCAGGCAAAAATAATGTTGTAGCAAATATGCTATTCTAAGGTAGATATATACAAGAAAAAGATTTGATTGAAGATACTAAAGATATAGGTACTACCTTTTATCCTAGGGCACAAAAAGGAGAGGATGAATATCCAAGACCATTTACAGAAGAATTATATAAAGAAAAATGGATTGATATTGGACGCTATTTAAGCACATTATCAAGACAATCATAATGGATTGATATTCATTTCAAACAGATTAGATGGAAGGCTTACAACTACCTCTTACAAGGTGGTTACGTATAGAAGCGATGCAAACGGGATAGTGGAATGCATAGAGAGTAGTTTGCAAGAAAGAGATGCAAAAATAATTAATCCATGAATTCCATGATAGTTTGTGGGCTGGACATAGAGGTATTTATGCCACCTTTAACAAGCTCAAAGAAAAATATTGATGGTATAACATATATAGAGATGTGGTGAAGTTTGTAGAATCATGTTAGACTTGTCAAATATACTCGGAGATTCTATATAGAGATGGATTGCATCCTACATATCTACTTACAGTACATTATAAATGGATTATAGATCTAGTTATTATGCCTACGGAGATATGGCAAATGCGATATTTGGCTCTAGCAAGAGAAGATTTATCTAACCAAGTAGAACGAAGAGCTCTACAAACAAAATCCATTGAAGGAGTTTGTAGATTTTTACTAGAAGATGTGAGTTGTAGATATGGATGTATTGGGAGACTTATTGCTGATTGTGGTGAATTGGATGCACATGAGGCTAGACATTTCTTTGAGAGATGCGGAGTCAAGCTAGCACTTACTATATTTTATAATCCGGAAGGCAATGCTAAGAGTGAACAAGGTCATCCTCCTATTGTAAGGGCCATTGTTAAAGCTTGCAAAAGAAGAGCAAAAAAATGGCAAAGGTTATTACCATTTGCTCTTTGGATTGATTGTACTACTCATAGTTCAGTGACAAGATATATGCCGGTAGAATTAATGTAAGGACAGAAGCCCATTATGCCAATTCAAGAGTAAATATCTACTTGAAGTATCTCGCCTTGACTAGACAATATATCTAAAGAAGAACTTCTTGTACATTGAATTTGTCAACTAGAGAAAAGACCTGAAGATGTAGAAAAAGTAATTATAAGGCTGAGGGAGTCACGCTTGAAGAATAAAGATAGATTTAGTAAGTGACATAGATTGAAGCCAAAAGATATTCAAGAAGGTGATTGGATTTTGGTATATGACAACAGCTTGGATAACCAACATAGTGCTCTTAAAAAGTTCTCTAAGCATTGGTTAGGACCTTATATGGTTGTACATGTTTGGATAATGCTACATATGCGTTAAAAGAACCAGATGGAATAAGATTCAAAATTCCAATTGCAAGAAAATGTATAAAACTTTTCAAACAATAGGATCAAGAACTAGTCCTTGAAGATGTTGGAAAAGAGTTTGATCTATCTAGGTATGAGGCAGAAGAATTGGATTTTGAAGAAAATATTATTGAGGAAGTAATATGATGCCAACCACAACTTTGGTTCTTCTTGGTGCATACCAAAGGATGCACAAATTTAGAAGAGATGGATGTCGTTTTGTGGTTCGATTACTTCATGAAAATAATGTAATTATGTACTTAATATATAATTTATTAAGTAACATGATGAGAGCCATATTAGTAGATTTTAGTTGGTTATAGAATATAATTTGATTATTACCTTGAAAAGAAAATGTTTAAAAAGTTTACTATAGAATTTACATAACTTTAATTTCTTTTGATAGTGGCTTTTAAGATTGGTTTTGATTGATAGTAACTTCTAAATATTTAGAGTCACTTTTGTTAGACATTGCTGACCTTTGAAAAGTTATTTTGGTTCTTTTATTTGGTGTTTAGAGCATAAATTATGTAAAACTTATAAGAAAAAAGTTTGAAGAAGGGTTTTGGTAGCAAAGAGAGTAATTAGGGCACCAATATAGATGAATGGAGATGAATGATAAAAATCTCTATTCCTATTGGTCAAAAATCATGACCAATAGGCTTTGAGGAGGCTACCAAAGGCCATATTAGGAATTAGGGTTAGTTTTTTACACCCATTTGAGCTTTGAAGGCTAGGATCAGCAAGTTTAGGTTTTTGGCTATGGTTTTGGTATAAATTTTGTATAATTTGGAGTTTATATGAAGGACGTATAGGCACTCAAAAATAAGGTGTTGATTTGGGAGCTACTGTCACTCTTTTTGATATAACGCACGGGTACATAAGGCAATTGAAGATCGGCAACTGCGACTAGAGAGAGCACTTTTGTGGCTACACTTTTTGTATACTGCTTGCTGGATTCTAAGTTGGGATAAAGAAGTTATTGGATTTTGAAGTCAGTGCATACAATCTAAGGGTAGTAAGTGACCTGATTTACTAGTGGTTGTGTCTTGAGCTATATCTTGAGCAATTTGATAAGGTTTTGGCTCAAAATTTCAAGAAAAGTGTAATTTCATGTTAGTAAACTTTTTACATAAGTTTGATGACATTTGAATATTGGGTTCTTGAAATATTAAGAAAATAGTGTTTAGATGCTTATAAATTAGGGTTTAAAGCATCTGCTAGGGTTTCTTAAATGCCAGAAGATTGGGAGTGAATTTATGGTTGGTTTTTTTTTTTTTTTTTTTTTTTTTTTTGTGGTCAAAGTTAAGGGTGAATTCTACCTATTCTATAAATTTGAAACAAATTAAATGGCTAGATCAAGAATTATGAATTTCTAAAATTTGGAATAAGAAAATCCTTCATGGGAAAAATATGTTTTGAAGGGATTTTGTTATATTTTGAGTTTTATGCAAAATCAAAGGAGTTTTGGAAGCTAAGACAAGATTCACATAGATGTTTAAGCTAAACTCTCTATAGCTAGATATCCAGTGTATTCTCAAATAGCAAATCACGTCATATCACAACGCCCTCATATGAGTGTAATGTTTTTGGTTGTCTATCCTATTCTACCAACTTTAGTAAAGACAACAAGGTTTGTTCAATCGAGAATGTCCTTGGAAGCCAAAAAGTAAATATAATCCTATCCCTCCTTCTTATATGAACATATGCTTCATGTCTTCTAGCTTAACTCTGTTTTTCTTATCTTGTCACATTTAAGAATAAATTTGCTATTATCACAAAAGTAAGGATTATGTTTGCTATTATAAAAAATACAAGGGCATTTTTGGTATTTCAACATATTTTAGGGGTATGCATGATATTTTTCCAATAAAGTATTTACAAAAATATTTTATGCATTGTATCTTAGAGAAATGTCAAATATTATATCGACAAATCACTAGTATCTCTGTATTTTAGAAGTTGCATGTAAACACAAAAAAATCATTCAGTATGCCAAAATAAAAATGAATTTAAAACAATCAGTGGGAAGTTTGATGAAAGGTTCTTAAAAAATGATATTTGCTTGATTGTGAGGCACTTCATCAAACGAATTAAACACAGAATTACATCACAAGAAGCATGGAAACAGATGAAATATGTCAGAAACATATACTTCATGACAACAGATTGGAGGTGAATTTTGTTTATTAAGAAGACATTGAATGAAACCCAGTCAACTTTTTTAAGAGACATCGTTCCTTTTCTGACAGGTTCAGTTCATGCAGAACACTCTCCGAACAGAAGCCTTCTGCTGCATGTTGTTAGGGAGATCCATCGTCGGAGCCCTTGCCGAGAGGGTGCGTGGTTGCAGGAAGCGCTGAAGCATTCGAACTTGCGGCCACAGTGTAGACATCCTGCATGGAGGTGCTAGTCATGGACGAGACATTGCTTGCTGTTCAGTATTCCAAGTACCACGGCGGTCCATCAGCCCTTGAGTATATGATATCATGCCCGATGCCGACGCCGAATGTGTTCGAGATGTTGGTGAAGGTGGAAGCCTGCGGTGTCAACGTTGTGGACTGGAGGTTCCAAGATGACTTGCGTAAGTATGTTGTTCCTTGCAAATTCCCTCACGTCCCAGGCTGTGATTTAAGCGGTGAGGTGGTGATGCTTGGACCTTGGGTCGTGGGTTTTGAACCAGGTGAAAAAATCATCAGTTGGATCAGCCCAGTGAAAGGAGGCGGATATGCGGAGTATGCTGTGACTGCATCAGCAACGACCATGAAGAGACCCCCAGGCGTTTCAGTGGTGGAGGCAGCGTCGTTACCCCGTCTGCCAATGACCGCTCTCCGGAGCGCTGTCCAAGTAGCTGGCCTCAAGCTTGATGGATCAGGCCCAAAACTGAACGTTCTCATCACTGCCGCTTCTGGGGAGGTTGGCCCGTTCTGGACCCAGATTGCCAAACTATGCGGCTGTCACGTGACAGCCACATGCGGATCTCACAACACGGAGCTTGTGAGAAGCCTGGGAGCTGATGAAGTGCTGGACTACAAGAGCACCGAGGGTGCGAAGTACACTAGCCCTTCTGGGAAGAAATCCGATGTCGTGGTGCACCTCGCACCCTATAAGCCAGAACAGCCTTCACGGCGCAACTCACAAAACGCGGTGCAGTCATCTACATGAAGCTGACTCTCAAGACTTACCTCAAAAACTGGTACCTGAAGCTCAGACTCTCGAAACTCAGTTTTGTGCCGTTAGTGCTGGATGGGAGTGATGGCGGCAACTTGCAGTGCATCACAGACCTATTGGAGGAGGGCAAACTGAGAGTGATAATAGACTCCACTTTCTCCCCTGGCCAAGGCCAAGGAAGCATGGACTCCAAGCATAGAAGGTCACAGCACGGGGAAACTTGGTCTTACCATTGCAATGCCACATGAAAATGCATGCTTCTAATTGCTTCTAATACAATTTACCAATTACTTATTTATAAGTTCACTTGAATCAAAACCTATCTGAATCAAAATACTTTCTCATATGCAAATCAATGCTGAACAAGCTTTCTTGGACAAAGCTTTAATTAGTTGGAAGTATTGAAGTCACAACACTTAGCATCAACAAGGTTGCACACAAAAGGGAGTATGGAATAAGATGACTCTTACTTCCAACACTTGTTACTTATAAGTGGTAGTTGCCAACCAACAAAGCAACTTCCATCAACGTTACATCCATTTCTATTTCATCCAACTAAACCTTAGGTTTTTTTTTAACCTAGCCGCCACCTAAAAATCCTAGCCACCACCTACAAATCCTATAAGCTACCATAGTAACTTCCTTATATTCTTTTATTGCCTATTGACCTCTAGCAACTTACTTAAGATAATAACTTTTACTAAGTGACTTACTTCAATATTCCTATTTTGCTATTGATCAAAGGGCTTTCAATCCTAAAGCCTTTGTCAACATGTGATGTCTATCCTTTACTAATGCCTTTGTCAAAAAATCAGCAAGCATGTCTTTCATTGCACAATACTTCATATCAATCACTCTCATTTCAATCTTCTCTCTTATAAAGTGATGTTGAATGTCAATATATTTTTTCCTTGAATAATACTTGGGATTCTTTGCAAATGCAAGACATCCTTGATTGTGACACTCCATTAGAGTTGCTTCAATTTGCACATCTTCAATGTCATCTAAAAGTTGTCTTAGCCATATTGCCTCTATTGCACCATGGCTTGCTACCATGTACTCTGCCTCTATTGTTGACCTTGCAATTGTTGGTTGTCTCTTACAATTCCATGATATAATTCCTACTCCAACAAAGAACACATATCCCGTTGTTGATCTTCTATCATTTGCATGTCCAGCCCAATCCACATCACAATAATCATGCAAAGTAATGTTATCACTTCCAAGGCACAATTTGAAGTTCAAAGTACCTTTTAAGTACTTCATGATCTTTTTTATGGTTGCCCAATGGATTGGTCCATCCTTTGACATGTGTTGGCTCACAACACTTATTGCATATGGAAGATCTACTTTTGTGCCAATCATTGCATACATTAGTTAGTCTACTACTGCCTTGTATAGAATTCCTTATATTTGACCTTCAACTTCAGCAAATTCTTCATATGTGAGCTTGATCAACTTCAAATTGACCTCCAAAGGTGTTTCAATAGGCTTACATTCCTCCATATTGAATCGTTTCTACACCTCTTCAATATACTTGCTTTGGCTCATTGTAATGGTCTTTTTAGCATGATCTCTTACAAACTCCACTCCTAAACAATAGTGAAGCTCTTCCAAATTACTCATCTCATACTCTCTTTTTAATTTTGCCTTCAACCAATCCATCATCTTCATAGTATTGTTTAAGATAATTAGATCATCAACATATAAGATGACAATCAATATGAACTCATTTGATTGCATCACATTCAAAGAATGATTAGCCTCACTCCTTATAAATCCTTCAGTCACAAAGAAAGTATCAATGTCTTGGTACCATGCCCTTGGAGATTGCTTTAGTCCATACAAAGATTTCTTCAACTTACAAACAAGATGTTGATTGCCTTCTTATACAAATCCTTAAGGTTGATCCATGTAGATGTCTTCTTTCAAGCTTCCATTCAAGAATGCCATCTTTACATCCATTTCATGCATCTCCAAGTCTATTGTTGCCTCAATTGCCACAGTGGTTCTAATGGTAGTGAATTTGGCCACATGAACAAATGTCTCATTAAAATCAACACCAGCAACTTATGAGTAGCCTTTGACAACTAATCTAGCCTTCTATCTCACAATATTATCCATTGCATCCCTTTTTATTCTAAACACCCACTTATAACCAATTGAAGATTAATTTGGTGGAAGTTGAGTTAATTCTCATGTTCCATTGTCTATGAGTGATTTGTATTCTTCTTCCATAGCATTCTCCCACTTCATAGCATCCGTGGACTTCATTGCATCATACAAATTCAATGGATCAGCAAGAATAATAACATTAGCATGTTCTTCATTTACTTGAGGAAATATATAGTCTTTCTATCATTCACCACATGGTTTTCTTTCTTTCATAGGATATCATCTTTCATTTAGAAAGGCTTCATCTTCTACACTTCATGCTCTCTTCCAAGCTTCTTCTTCCTTAAAGCTTGTCTTTTCTCACTTAAAATTTAATACTCCTCATCATTATCATTATCATCAATATTTTTATTATATTCATTGTTGGTTCTAACAATCGAAGGCACACTATGGTCTATCTTCTTTAGCACTTCACCTTGATTTGCATTTCTTCCATCTTCATTGTCACTATCATCTTTTTCTTCTTTCGTTGCTGAAATTGATGATGTATCCATAAACACACCATTACTCCCACTTAGATACATCTCTAAGTGTTCAAAAGCACTCTTATGCTCCAAAATTCAAAATCATGACTTTTGATGATCTTTTTGGTTTCTAAATACATTAGCCTATATGCCTTTGTACCTTCATAATATCTAACAAATACACATTTTGTACTCTTTGCATTAAGTTTAGACGTCATGCAACCTGGTACCTTTGTATAAGCAATGCATCCAAAGATCTTCATGTATGAAACACAAGGTTTATTGCTACTCCAAGTTTCTTGTAGAATCATTGATGTGAGTGTACTTGTAAAGCATCTATTCTTTATGTACATTGAAGTAACCATGGCTTCAGCCCAATATTCATGCCCAAGGTATTATGCATGAAGCATACTTCTTGCCATCTCCACAATGGTGCGATTTGCTCTTTCAGTAATTTCATTTTATAGTAGAGTGTAGAGAGTAAAGGTTTGTCTTGCAACATGTTGAATCTTCAAAAATTCATCAAAATGCTTTGACATGTATTCACCTCCATTGTCCATGCGTAATACTTTGATCTTGCACTCATATTGTTTCTCTACAAGAGCTTTAAATTCCTTAAATCTTGAAAAGCACTCACTCTTAGCTTTAATGATATAAATCCACACTTTTCTTGAAAAATCATCAATGAATGTGATAAAGTACCTTGCTCCTCCAATTGATGGTGTCTTCATTGGTCCACAAACATCAAAATGCACAATTTCTAATAATTTGATTGCACGTGTTGTAACTCCATTTAGAAATAAACTCTTTTATTGTTTGTCTTATATACAACCTTCTTAAGCAAGTGTCATGGCATTGTAGCTGAAATGACCAAGATCCAAGCCACTTACCATAGATTGAAGCTCTTTCATGCATTTGGAATTTAAATGACCAAGTCGTAGATGCCAGATTTCAAACTTGTCTTGGTCTTGTGGAAAATGAGCAAATCCAGTCACTTCAACTCCATTCACCTTCTTATAATTGATGAAGTAGAAATTTCCATCTCTAAGGCCTTTGGCAACATGTTGTCCATCCATTGTCTTCACAAAGCATCCATTCATGTCAAATTGAATCTTATAACCATGTGATACAAGTTTACTCATCGAAAAGAAGTTCTTTTTCATCTTTGGTACATGGAAGACTTCTTTCAATTTGATCCACTTGATTTGGTCCTTCACAACGATCTCCACAATAATTGAGCGAATTCCAATGGCTTCTACCATGCCATTGTCTCCCAACCAAATTTTGATTGCTAGAATTTCTTCATAACTATCAAATGAACACTAATATGGTGTGATGTACTTAGTAGCATTTGAATCTATAATCCACTTAGATATTGCAGCCATAGAGATTCTTTCGCTTGCCATGAAAGCATAGTCATTTTTACCAAAGTTATCACAAGCATTGTTTGCATTCTTTCTATCTCCTTTCTTGGCTTTGTAGCAATTCCTAGCAAAGTAACCTAATTTCTTATATTGCTCTTTAAACTATCACATTGGTGAAAATAGCTACCTTTGCATTGTCTTGAGAATAGAGCCAAATCTTCACTTTGATACTCTTTTTCTTTTTTCTTAGTTACTTCATCGACAAGTCTTAATGTGACATAATTCATAGTAAGCTCCTTTATGTTGATGGACTCCAATGCCACAATGAGCTAGTTGTAAGATTCGGGAAAGCTCATGAGTAATGTCAACACAATTTTTCTATCATCAACTGGTGTGTCAACAACCACTAGTTGGTTTATAAGTACTTTTATCTTGTTGATATAAGCCATGAGGTCACCTCCTTCTTCTATCTTTATTGTTAAGAACTTCCTTCTTGTCCATAGAATGTTGGCAAGGTTTCTACTCTCATAAATGTTGCAAAGAGTCTTTCATGCTACCGTTGGTCCAAAGCAAGTAATTATATGTGAAAAGTTGGCATCATCAAGATTTGTTGCAATCATGTCAAAAGCCTTCCTTTTACATCATTTATACTTCTTCTTCACCTTCACATTAGCATCATCACTTGAAGGGTCTTCACTTTCATCAACAATGTCCCAAAGGTCTAATGAAGTCAACAAGAGCTCCATTTTCTTCTTCCAATAGTAGAAGTTGTGACCTTTAAACTTCTCAATTACTCTCAAACCCTCACCTTCACTTACAGCCATGTTTAAAGAAGGGGTGTATCAAAAAAAATCAAAAAAATAAAAGAATGAACTCTCAAAATCAACAAGAAGATGTTGTTCTCTTAGAAACCCAGAATGTCCTCTTAATGGGTAAACTATTGTTTATACTCTTCAATCACTCTCAACTTTACTTATAAGACTTTTTACAA